ACCTAATATAATCCCACAGGTTTCCTGCCTGAGAACTGCCTGTGAGTCACTTCTTACGCAGATCAGCCCTGTCAAGTGTCGGCCTTCCTTATAGCTATATATACTCCAGGTCCAGAGGGCACTGGCAACTCAGCAAGCAGAGACCTGACTTCTGGGTGCACATGAGTGGCTGGGCAGGGCATGTGCAAGGACCTTAATATTATGCAATTCCTTTCAAAACTGAGTCCATTCAGATGGACTCAATCCATCTGAGTGAGGTGGATTCAGTCCTGGACAGACTGCATGGGAGACGCTGTTGAAGGCTGCCACCTACCAGTCTACCGACCTCCTTAATTTCCAAAGTCCTTGATCACAACAGGGAAACTTCATTCAGCTCAACAAACTTTGGCTATTTAAGCACATACTCTATGTGTATATGTAGGGGGTTACAAAAATGAATAAGGTGAAATTTTAGCCCTTGGGGATTTTGCAATCTAGAAAGGTAGAACACTCTGCCGGTGAGGCTAACAATTTTATAATGTCTGCTATGTGCCAGACATTGTATTATGCACTCAGCACACATTATATCTAAGTGCAATTCAAGATCCAAAGTACAATGAGAGTTCAGAGAGGTTTCGGAGGTTTCCTGCAGAAGTGACCTTGGAACTGGCACTTAAAGAATAGGTATGATTTTAACAGGTTGAATTGGTGAAAGCAATTGAGGGAGAGAGGATATTTGTCAAAGCCCAAGAGGCAAGGAAATAGGGGCTGTGTTCTAGAATGGGGAATTTCCTGTTGGGCTCTGCACACCCTATTTTCTAAAATGCAACACTGTTGCAGGAGCCTCCTACCTGATCTTCCTGCCTCCTCCTCTCCCAGCTCCATTCCACAAACAACTGTCAGATCTATCTTCATAAAACCGGTATCTGACCAAATTACAACTCTCCAAGAAGGAAGACAGGAAGGGGCAGACACAGGGGCAGGAAGGGGGAGCTTTCAACAAACCCTACTTCCTGCAGAAGAAAGTCCAAACCCCTCACCATTCAAAGCCTTGAGCACCTGGCACTGCCAGTTGGTGCATTTCTAACTTCATCTCCTGCCACTCCGTCCCCGCAGCTCCCCTCCTTCCTTACATCCCAGCCATCCCTCAAATGTGTCGTGTATTTCACTCTTCCAGGCCTTTATTCTTGCTTTTCCTCCTGCCTGAAATAACCTAGCCGCTGTCAAATTCAGTTTAAAATTTTAAGATTGTTTAATTGACACCTTCCCTAAGACATTCCTAACAATGAGTTCAGAATTAAGTGCTCTCTCTCCTGTGGCTCCGCAGTGCATCCTGCCTCTATTCCAGCACTTGTCAGGGCTGTCATTTGATACTGGACCTGGAGTCAGATTACCTGGCTCCAAACTCCAGCATTTAGAAGAGCGGATTGGGGAACTTGGATCTCTGAGGCTTAGTTTCATCATTTGTAAAAATGGGATACTTCAGATCTACTTCACAGAATTCAATAAGATGATATGTGGAGGTACTTCAAAAAGTTCATAGAAAGATTCATGTTAATCTTTTAATTCTATTTTTGAAGTACCCTCATATTAAAGGCACTTTGTAAACTGTTACACATGTAACATTTTTATATTTACATTTTAAATGTGTAAAAGGTAAAAAGTTTCCATTCCACCATAATATAAGATACCACAGAACACTAATTTTAAAAGGAAAAACTTTTATCTTAAAATAATTTTACAGAAGAGTTGCAAAGAGAGAGAATTCCCGTATACTCTTCACTCGACTTCTACTGTTAACATCTTCAATAACCATGTTACATTTATCAAAACTAAGACATGAACACTGGTACAGTCATACCATTAGCTAAACTACAGACTTTAATCTCTCTTTTATCAAATTTTCAACTAACTTTATTTTGTTCCAGGATCCAATCTGGAACCACATACTGCATTTAGTTGTCAGTTCTCCTTAGTCTCCTCCAATCTGTGACAGTTCCTCAGTCTCTCCCTGCCTTTCATGACCTTAACATTTTTGAAGAGCACTAGTTACATATTTTGTAGATATATGGGCCGGCCCGGTGGCGCAATGCTACAGTGCGCCGCTTGGCAAGCGCAGCGGCGCTCCCGCCAAGGGTTCGGATCCCATATACAGACCGGCCGCTCACTGGCTGAGCGAGGTGCGGGTGCGACACTGAGGGTTGCGGTCCGTTGCCGGACATGAAAAAAAGACAAAAAGGAAAAAAAGAAAAAAGAAATAGAAAAACCCTCAACTTGGATTTTTCTGGTGTTTTTTCGTGATTAGACTGGAGTTACAGATTTGGGGGAAGAATACCACAGAGGTGATTTGCTCTTCTCATTGCACATCATATCAACTTGATTTATCACTGGTGATAAAAGAGGGATTTTTGACTGCTTTGTTCATATTCAACATCTAAAACATTCTGGCATGTGGTGGTACTCAATAAATCTCAATGAATTCTAACTATTCTGTGTCTGTCTCTCTCACTAAATTGTAAACTCCTAAATGGCAAGGACCATATTGTATTTATCTTTGTAGTTTCCTGATGCCTACTTCTTGTATTTAGTTTCACTAAACGTTTAGGGATTGACTTGAAAGGTAAGTTGGGTTGTATCTGCAGGCAAAATCAGGCTTATTTGGTAGTTATTAGGGAACCAATGACTGATTTTAAGCAGCTTGGTCTAAAAGTTTAATATTTATTAAGTGTCTATTATGACTGGCACTTTGCTAATGTTTGGAGTTCCTATAGCATTTTATCAGTAACTGGAAAGGGAAAGAGGGTTGGGAAGGAAGGACTGGTAAATGCAGGGCAGAGAGGACTTTGAGCTTTGAGGCTGGATGGTGCAGACTTGGTGACAGCATTCTGAGGGGAAGGAAAGACCAGAAAAGGAAGTCTGGGGTATAAGATAATAAATTTGGCTTTCAATGTGTTAAATTTGTATTACAGAAAAACCATGTGAAGATCTCTGGGAGGCATTCGTAAATGCTGGGCAGAGGGTTAGGCGGGACTAGATAAGTAGATTTGAAGCCGTTTCTAGTCTACCGATAGCTAAAGCCCAGGAAGGGTATAAGATGCGCAGAGATGGAATACTGAGAGAGACGAGGATATCATACCCTTGAGGAAATCCCGCACTTAGAGAGGAGTAAGAAGAGGAGACAGTGAAGGAGATAGAGAAGTGTATTAGTCTTTTGTTGTTGTTTATAACAAAATACCTGAAACTGGATGTTTTACAAAGAAAACAAAATTTATTGCTTACAGTTTCTGAGGCTGGGAAGTCCAAAGTCCATCTCCTGGTGGCAACAGTGATCCAGGGGTCTCATATTGCAAGATGGTAGAAGCAAAGAGAGCAGAACAGAGAAAAAGACAGATTCTCCTCTTCTCTTAAAGCCCTCAGAACCACGCCCCTGACCACCATTTTTAATACATTCACTGCTGCGCAGTCCTACAATCCAATCACCTCTTCAAGGCCCCACCTTTCAATTACCACAATAGGATTTCCCACCCTCTTAACAGTCACAGTGGGGGCCAAGTTTTTTTTTTTTTTTTTTTTCCTTTTTGTCTTTTTTCGTGTCCGGCAACGGACCGCAACCCTCAGTGTCGCGCCCGCACCGGACCAGGACCGGCAACGGGATCGCAACCCTCGGCGCTGCGCCCGCCCCTCGCTCAGCCAGTGAGCGGGAACCGGTCTGTATGTGGGATCCGAACCCTCGGCGGGAGCGCTGCCACGCTCCTAAGCGGCGCACTATAGCAGTGCGCCACCGGGCCGGCCCCCAAGTTTTTAATACATAAAACTTGGGGAACACAATTCAAACTTCAATGAGTTCGAGGGGGACATAATTCAATCTGCTATAAGAAGGAACATTAGAAAGCTATACAAGAGAGATTTCAAGAACTGGGTAGTTGCCAATACCAATTAAGAGGAGACAGGCAAGTACTTTAATTACTTAGGGGATGCCAGGTGACTGGAAAAATTTAAAGAATGAATGGGAAATAAAATGGTGGAGCAATTAAACACATATTTTGCTTAACTATGAGAAGAAGAGGGAAATGTGGCTGCAAACAACAGAAAGGCGGAGAAAAAGGTTTTATTTTAGTTCTGCCATTAATCCCTCACTTGCATGATCTCATATAAAGTATTTAACCTCTCAAACTGTTAACCTTGCTTGCAAATATAACTGGCATAAACTATATCTGATCTACTTGTTTTGTTTTGTTTTGGTTTTGGCAGCTGGCTGGTCTAGGGATGGAACCCTGGACCCTGGTGTTATCAGCACCACGCTCTAACCAATTGAGTAACTGGCCAGCTCCTGATCTACCCATTTTATAGGCCAAGCTCAGGAGCCTGCTTCCCCACTGGACCCTGAGGTTGAGGGCAGCGACCACATATACCTTATTTATATAAATATTCCAAAAGCCTCTTAGAGCAACACAATAACCATTCGAAAGATGCTTGTTGACTGCAGAGTGCAGGGTGAGCAACAGCAAGCGCTGACACACCGAGATGTCACTGTTGGCCCGTCACTGTGCGGTGCGCCTTATCGCGCATTAGCCGGTATTCTTCACCACCCGAAGTAGGTGCTATGATCGCCTCGTTTTACGGATGAGGAAACGGGGTGAATGAAGAACAGTAACGGGCCCAAAGTCCCCAATCCATGGGTCTTGGAAATAGAATGAATTTTTTTCACTCAAAAGCCACGGAACAACAGGCCATGCGGTCGACGGAGGAAAAAACCATCGCAAAGTACAGGACGTCCGGAAAAAGAAAAGGAACTGTCCTTCTGCGCCTGCGCTCCCCTCGGCTCTCCAAGCCGCCTTCCCAGGCCCTAGACCATTGTCACAGTACGCCTGCGCCCAGCCTGAGTTCCGCCAGGCTTCGGTTGACTTCACCGCTACCTCTTCCCGCCTCGGGAGGGCCGGGGCTGTAGCGAGAAGCGAGGAGGCGGGTGACTAGGTAGTGCGCGTGCTGATGACGAAAGCGGAATTGCTCGGTCAGAGGCGGGTCCAGAGCCCAGAGGGGCTCGGGATTGCGGAAGTTTTGTGAAGAGGGTCGGGCGGCCGGATAGCGCAGTGTTGCTTTAGAACAAATTCCAGAAGGCAGTCTGCTGCTCGGGGTCCGAAAACCACCAGCTTCCCCGGGCTTGGGGCTGTAACACCGAGGGCTCTTCGACGTCGCCGCTGTTGGTTCTCCTCGTCCCTCGGTCCCCCTCAGGGAACCGCCTCGGATCTCCGCCATGGCATCCACTTCGCCCAACCTCCAGGTACCACCGCTCATCTCCCGCCCCCTGGAGAGGGGGAGCCGAGGGGAGCGCGAGAATTGGGGTGGAGGGCAGGGAGGTGGGAGGAAGCGGCCGCACCCCTGGCCGGGGCCGGGCGAAGCCGCAGGTGGGAGAGTGGGCCCTTTACTGCGGGAAGGTCGTTTCCTGCACGCTCTTGGGGTCTCTTGAGCCACTTGGAATGGGAGGCTCTTGACGTTTGTTAGGACTTTTTTTTTTTTTTTTTTTTTTTTCCGAGCTTGAACCAAACTGGGTAGTCTCCAGTCAGCGTAAGGGAGAAAGGAAATACGTAATTTTTTCAAAGCACTAGTCTAGATCAGTTGAAAATAGGGTGGTCATAATTCTCAGTATTTCGAGCCGATTGAGCAAAGCTTTTCTTTTCGAGCTGTCGAGTGAATAGAAATATGACAACAGCCCTGGAATAGGAAGTTAGAGCCAGCCTACATCCAATCTCCGAGAATTCATTGAGCATATGTGTTTATGTGCACTCTCCTGTGGCTCCGAAACTGAGTAAGGCCGGGGAGTATTCTTAAACTCCTCTGTGGCTACAGTTTTCCACGCCCACAGCAGTGAGCAGTGTTTTGTACATAAATCATGGAATCTTAAGATTTTAGACGTAATCGTTAGTCCTCTGTGGAATGGAATTCATTGAGGAAAGAAATTTAAGAGTGTCATCCATCCCCAGAATGGGTCTAGGGCTTCAGTGGGGTTTAGAATGTGAGTTAGGAGACTCGAGGACTCCCAGTCCGGTATGTCAGTTTAGGCCAAAGGAGAAGCGTGAAATACCTATATTGAGTCATTGTCTTGGACTTCCAGTAGTGTGTTTAACAGGCACCAAAGATAATGGAAGGCTTTCTTAACCCAGGATAATTGATTCTGAAGAGAGATCACTCAAAATAGACCCCCATAAACAGAGATCAAAATTTAACAAACAAAAAAGTGGGAGGGGAGGCTTGCTTGGGACTTTTATCTTGAAAATCAACCTAAATGATCATGAAAACAAAGGTTTTATGTCTTTCACAAAATATTATGATTGTGTGATTCATTTCTTAGAATAAATAATGTCAGGTGCTGATTTGTATGTGTATTTTTTCCACCAAGACTGTATTAAACTAAGATACAACAATCTTCACTTAATCTTAAGGGTTTTTTTTGTAGCCTTTGGTAAGGGTCTTTTGAAGGAATATATTTGGAAAAAGTATTGTTCGTTTGGTGAAAGTTTTATTCTTTTGAGTATTAAAGGTGATTTATTTTGAAGTGCCCATCATATCATCATTCTTGTTGGTTTGTCGGTTAACTAGTTTTATTCAATAAACTTCATTTTCAGAGACTTTGCATGTAATTTGGGCATTCTACAACATAGTCTTCATCTGTTTACTGATATCTTTCTTCTGCAAGATTTGCAGTTTTATTCTATAATCAGAGTGCATCATATTTGAATTGGATGTTTGAGTATTCAGTGAATCAGTTAGAGATTGATATTAAAGCATGATTGCTAGTGTTGAACGTGAAGAATGTAGTATTATTTTATTAGTGGTCTGTTCACAGGTGTGCTTTTTCATTCAGCCTTTTCAACCTTCTAACATAGGAAATTTGGATGAAGAATATTCAAATAATGAATAACTTTTCCACTGAACAAGGCAAAAATCCCTATAGCCAGACACTTATAATCTAATGGAAGAATGCATCAAAATTTTTGATTAAAAATTGAAATTAAAAGTAATTCAATTAATGCCGTAGTAGAATTAGAGTTTACTATGGAGGGCAGAAAGGAAGAGCCAATCTCACTCTTCCAAGGGCAAGTGAGAAATGTCATACAGAGGAGGTGATGTGATCTTAGATAAAGTGAACAGAAGTAACAGTAATTGCTTGGTGTTTGATGTGATCTCATTTAATCCTCAAAACAACTCTTCAAGGTGAATATTATTCCAGGTTCACAGTATGAGAAACCTCAACTTATTAAGGTTCTGATTTACCCTGAGACATACAGTTAATTAGTATGGAGATAGTTTTGAATCCAGGTCTGTCTGCTTACCAGTCTGTAGTTTTTTCACTACAAAATTCTGCCTTCTTGAACAGGAAAGTTAAATGTTTTCCAGGCAGAGAAAATCAACTTATGTCTCAGTCCCAAAGTGTAATAAACCTTGCAGAGGATTAGGGGAGATTGCAAGTAATACAGTATGAAATAGAACTCATAATTTACTCAGTCTTCAATATTGAGTGTTACTATGCCATGTGTTTTGCTATGTCCTGGGGAATCATAAAAATATATATATCATTTATGACCTCAGACAGTTTATGTTCTTTTTTTTTTTTCCTTTTTGTCTTTTTTCGTGACCGGTAACGGGATCGCAACCCTCGGTGTCGCGCCCGTACCGCGACCGGCAACGGGATCACAACCCTCGGTGTCACGCCCACACCGCACTCAGCCCGTGAGCAGACCAGTCTCCACATAGGATCCAAACCCTTGGTGGGAGCGCCGCCACGCTCTCAAGCGCCGCACTCAACCGAGTGCGCCACCGGGCCGGCCCCAGTTTATGTTCTGATGTGTAAACATATAAAGTGACTGATAAGTACAAGAGGCAGTGGAAATCTAGAGAAGGTTAGGCTACACTGCCCTGAGGGTATTGGGAAGGGCTTTGCAGCAGGACCATGACTGCTGTGAGTCCTGGAGAAGCAGGAGTTTTACAGGGAGACAGTGAAATAGGATATTCCAGGTGGAGAGTATGCTGTACACAAAGGCATGCCATCTGAGTTGGTCCAGGTTGTGCCAGCAGTTTGGTATCACTGGGACTTAGTGTACAAGGTGGGAGTGCAAGCCTAAAGAGTCGGGCCATATCCCAAGGAGCCTTGTGTACATGTAAGCCATAGAAGGGTTTCACACAGTGGAGTAATATGCTCAGGCTTTTGTTTTAGAATGAAACTGTCATGTGTGTACACATGAAAAGCTTGACTGGTGGCAGGCCTGGAAGCAGAGAGACTGGTTAGGAGGCAGGGGTCTGTGTGATGGGAGATAGTGAGGGAACAAATTAGTGTAGTGTCTATTTGAATAAAGAAGAAAGGATTGATCGGAGAAAAATATCACACTTGTATTTGCATTTAAACAGTTCGGGAGGAGGAGGAGTCTGGGTTTTCTCCCAGCTTTCAGGATTAGGTATCTGAGTGGGTTGGAATTGGTTCTGGGATACAAAAGACGGGGCATATTTGGGGCTGGGGTGAGTGGAACAAAATAAATTCAGTTCTCAGCTTGTTGAGTTTGAACTGCCTGTGGGGGCAATCAAATGGAAATGTCCAATGAGCATTTGGGTACATGTGTATAGAACTGGGTAGACTGGGCTAGGCTGGAAATTAGGATTTGGGACTTGTTGGCATACAGATGGTGGCTGAGATTGTGGGTATGGAGATTTTACAGAATGAAGAAAATCAAGGACCAAAGTAGAAACCCTGTGGAATATCGACATTTAAGGAGAGAGGAAAGGGAGCCTGAAAAAGAATCATTAGACAGTAAGAAGTATAACAAGGAGAGAATGTTGTCATGAAGGTCAAAAAAAGAGATACTATTAAAATATTTGTTGTTATGGTAAGTGCTGCAGAGAGGGACTTAGATAAGCATGAGATTTGGCAATCAGGAGGCAGAAAACATTGCTGTGAGAAGAATAGAAAATCAGGAAACTGAGATGAACTTGGAGTACTCTTTGGGATTTTGCTGCAGAGATAAAGAGATGGTAAGATGGTAGCTAGAGAGGAACTTAGGAACTGGGCCGAGTTGGTATATTTGGGGTTGTGTTTTGTAGATATGAGCCTACACATTTTTCTGCTGAGGAAAGACCCAACCAAAAAGGGAAAGGTTGGGTAGAGCAGTAGAGTGGTACATTATTGTTGGAGTAAATGTCAGGAGGAAGGTAGGAATGGACTTCAGAGCATGGAAGAAAGAATTGTCCTTGACAGAAAGGGACTGGAACATCTTTTCTCCTGAGATAGGTGATTGTAGAATTTACCCAGTTTCCCAGGGTTTTCTAGTAACATGTCATAGTCTCCTAATCTGAAGAGGATAGTCCCAGATTTCCTAACCTTTATACTTCCACACTGATGACTGGATCCTGACTGACTGACCTTGGGGTAATAAAGTCATTCAGTCTTGTGCCAGCTTCGCACTGTGCTAGAGAATATAAAAAAGTGAAGGCAACAGTCATAACCCCTGTCCTCATGGAGCTTATATTCTAATGGGAGAGACAGGCAAAAAAAAAAAAATCTCACATGTGGGTGTATTCACACACACACACACACACAGGTAACAAGCCTGGAAGGATTTTAGACACAAGAGTGGTGTGGACAACTGTGTTTTAAAACTGAATAAACTTGAGGATCATTAGCCTAAAGTTGGTCAGCCTTAAATCAACAGAAATAAATCACATAAGGAGGGAGTAAACAGAAGTGAGACCCATCCCCAAACTCAGTGTCACATACTAGAGGAAGAATCAGCAAAGAAGACTGAGTAGGAGCTGTCAGAGAGGTAGGAGGCCTCTCTGACAAGCAAAGTGGTGCTTGGGGGCTCAGTGGAGGTCACTGTTCAAAAAGAAGGAAATGATCAACTTTGTAGAATGTCAAAAAGATCAAGATGAAGACAGAGCTAGTCTTTGGACCTGGCATCCTAGAGAGCCTTGATATAAGCAGTTTTATTGATGTGATAAGGGAAAGAGAATAAAGGCTTCTTAGGTGAGATTTTGGCTCTAAAAGGTAGCAGAGAAACAGAACTAAACTGAAGGGCGTTTTGGTGTCAAAGAAGGTTTTTTAAAAGAGGGCTGTTTGTATGCTGACAGAAATATCCAGTGGAGAGAAATTGTTGGTAGAAATGACAGAGGTGGAATAACCAAAGCGAGAAAGATTTTGAGAAAGTAGATTTCTTTTCACACATTTGACAATTTTCTTGATTACCCATTGTATACCAGCACCATTCTAGGCTGGAGGAGTTCAGATGAAGTCCTGTTCTCACAGAGCTTACCTTAGTAAAGGAAATAGCCAGTAAGAGAGTATACAGGTAAATATAATGATAAAGATAGGATAAGAGAGTGCAGGGGTGAGGGGAGAGCTGAGAGCAGGGATGGGGTACAGCCTCTTATATAGCAGATTAGGGAGGTCCTCTCTGAGAACTTGCTATCCGAAATAGGGCAAACAAGGAGACTGTCATGCATCGATCTGGGGGAAGGAAGAACATTCTAGACAGAGGGGTCTTCCGTACCTGAGTGAAGGAGGATTAGAGGGTTTCAGTTGTGATCCAAACAGCCAGGGCCCAGGTCATTTAAGGCCTTGTAGATCGTGCTCCAGCATTTGGATTTCATGGTTTGCCATGGGAAGCCATCAAAGTTTTCTGTATGGACTTCCAGGTGGTGGGGTGGAAGCAGGCTGACCACCTACAAGCCTAGGTGGTAATTTGACAAATATGACAGTGGATTGAACAAGGGTGGTAGCAGTGAAGATGGTAAGGATTATATTCTGAAATAATAATTTGCTCTCCAAAACCATACAACACAAGATTAATTTCATTTCAAATGAAAAATGCTAACAAAAATAAGGGCAAAATGGGGCATTCATTGGGAGAAAATAGATGCATGTCTTCATAAATCATCGTCTTTGATTAAAGGTTTAACATGCACCCTCCGGTACAGTTGCTACATATGGCTATTTAAATTTAAATTTTAATTAAATAAACTCACTCCTCAGTCACACTACAACATTTCAAGTATGCAAAAGCCATATGAGGCTGGTGGCTTTGGTACTGGACAGTGTAGATACAGACATTTTCATCATTGGGGAAAGACTGGTTTAAACTAATTGGTGCCATGTTTGGAGCCAGATACTTAAATACCAACTATAAGAGTTTTACTTTAACAAATATCAGTGTGGTGCCTGACTGTGACACCATGTTAGGCCTCACTGTGAATCAGGGGAGTAGCTGAAGAGGTGAGTGGCACAAATTCCAAAATAATCTGAGAAGAAAATTATAATCAGAATAAGAAAGAATTTATTTCTGCTGTGTGGCTTAGCCACTGAGCTTTGGTATGCATTTCTATATGACCAGTCTCACCTAACCACTAGTTGACCACATTCTATGACTCCACTTTTTATATCCTGTCTAGCTTACACAACTTTTGAACATTTAGCTTTGAATTAAGACTGTTTGAACTTTGAAATGTGTGAGTACTACACTTTGTCAATTGTAAAACACACCATTTTTCTTCCCTCCTGCTACAACAAAGGAAGCATGGTCTTCCAGGGGATGGCCTCTTCCTCTCATTTACAGATTTCATCCCATCTATATCCAATCCACAAGCAACTACTTCAAAATATATTATTATTCTTACATATGATTGGTTTTTGGATTGTTTGAATGGTTTTTTTTTCTTAATTTTATGCTTATTTTTAATATAGCCTAACCGTGATCATTTTTTTTTTTACTGGCACTTATTTCTGTTGAATACAGTTTTACTACTTAAATTAACCCAGTTGGAATGTTTTAATAAATTATGCTTGTTCTTTATTTGTATGTGTCTGTGCATATTTTTAAAAATTAAAGAAATTTTTTTTAATGAAAATTTTATTTTGAGGTAACTATAGATTCACATGCAGGTATAAGAATAATGTAAAGCGGTCCAGTGTGTCCTTCACCCAGTTGCACTCAGTGGTGGAATCTTGCAAAATTAGTATAATATCACAACCAGGATATTGACATCAGTACATTCCACCATTCTTACTCATATTGCCCCATGGGGTTTTACTTGTACTTGTGTGTATTTGTGTGTGTGTGTTTCTGTGCAGTTTTATAACATGTAGGTTTGTGCATCCACCAGTCAAGACACAGAAGAGTTCCATCCACAAGGATCCCTTATGTTGCCCTTCAACCCACAATCACCTCCCCTTCGTTTTGTCCACCATCCTGATCCTTTCACAGCACTGATCTGTTCTCCATCTCTGATTTTGCCATTTTGAGAGTGTTATTAATGGGATCATATAATATATATAACCTTTGGGAATTGGCTTTTTTCACTCAGCATAATTCCCTCAAGATTCATGTAAGTTGTGTGTAACAGCAGTCAGTTCTTTTTTGTTAGTTACTAAGTAATACTCCATGGTGTTAATGTACCACAGTTTGTTAACCATGCAACTGTTGAAGAACATCTGGAACATTCATGTACAGGTTTTTGTGTGAACATAAGTCTCCATTTCTCTGATAAATGCCCAAGAGTACAGTTGCTTCTTCATATGGTATTTGCACATTTAGTTTTGTAAACAAAACAGGACAAAAACCAGCCAGTTTCCCAGGGTAGCTGGACTGTTTTACAACTCACCAGCAATGTATGATTGATACAATTCCCTGCATCCACACCAGCATTTGATGTTGTCACTATTTTTTGTTTTATCTATTCTGATAGGTGTGTCATGATGTCTCATTGTGGTTTTAATTTGCATTTCCGTAATGGCTAATAATGTTGAGCATCTGTCTTAGTCCGTTTTGTGTTGCTATAACAGAATACCCGAGACTGGGTAATTTATAAAGAAAATGAAATTTATTTGCTTACAGTTTCTGAGGCTGAGAAGTCCAAAGTCCATGTCGTGGTGGTGACAGTGATGCAGGGACCTCACTTTGCAAGATGGTGGAAGCAGAGAGAGCAGAGAGAAAGAAAGAGTCTCCTTTTAAAGCCCTGAGAACCATGCCGCTGACCACCATTTTTAATCCGTTCACTACCACATGGTCCTACAACCCAATCACCTCTTCAAGGCCCCACCTTCCCCACCTTACAATTACCATAATAGGATTTCCCACCCTCTTTACGGGGCCACTGTGGGGGCTAAGTTCCTAATACATAAAACTTGGAGGACACAATTCAAGCTTTAGGGAGTTTTGGGGGGACATAATTCAATCCATTATAGCATCTTTTCGTATGCTTATTTGCCATCTGTATATCCTCCTTTGGTGAAATGTCTGTTCATGTATTTAGCCTATTTTCTAATTGGGTTTTTTTAAACTGTAAGATTTTGAGTTCCTTATACATTCTCGATACTAGTCCTTTGTCAGATATGTGTTTTGCAAACATTTCTCTGAGTTTGTAGCTTATGTTTTCATCCTTTTAACAGGATCTTTTATAGAGCAAAAATGTTTAGGTCTGATAAGGTTCTAGTTTAGCAGTTTTTTTCCTTTTATATATGTTGTGCTTTTGATATCAAATCTAAGAACTCTTTAGCACCATTTCTTAGAAAGCCTGTCCTTCTACCATTGTCTTGCTTCTGCATCTTTTTCAAAAATCACTTGGATATACTGTATTTGTATGGATTTATTTCTGGAAGTCTTTCTTTTAAATACTACCAAAGTAGTCCATGTTCATTATGGGGTTTTTTTTTTTTTTTTTTTTTGGCTGTTGTTTCAAACAGTTCAACTTGTGCTACATACAAAGGGTTGTATACTGCTTTTTTAAAACAAGTTTCCCAGGCTGGCCTGTTAGCTCAGTTGATTAGAGGATGGTGTTATATAACACCAAGGTCAAGAGTTCGGATCCCCATCGTGGCCAGCCACCAAAAAAAAAAAAGATTTTAAGTTTCCAGGTTTTCTTTTGGTTAATGTCTTTGTTCAATAAACTTTTTAGTTAATTAGTGGGTTAAAAGATTTGGGCAGTTTTCAGATTCTTAATATTTCATTATGCCATTGCTTCTAAAGGGGTTTTACCTCACTTACATTTCTACTTTCGTTGCATGCTCTAAATATAGCAGCATTTGATTTTTGAGAATTTCCCCAAATGCTTTTTTTAATTTGAATTTTCAGATTATTTGATTCTCCCTTCCTAGCCCTAAGTTTGACTTTAGTTGAGTGAAAATTATGTGAGAATCTTAGTAACTGGTACTAGATATAATACTCAAATAGCATTTATCCAAATAACAGATTAAGTTCACATTTTATAAAGTTATAATTTTCATCAAATATAGTTCTGATTTAGGAAAAAAGGATTTGTTTTAAAGTTGCTTTTGTTATTTAAGAAAATCATTCTAGATCATACTGAAAAGTATGATTATTTACTTCAAATTTATGTTTATGCTTTGATTTTAATGTTATTATTTTGCCTCCCTTGAACAGAAAGCAATAGATCTTGCTAGCAAAGCAGCACAAGAAGACAAAGCTGGGAACTACGAAGAAGCCCTTCAGCTCTATCAACATGCTGTACAGTATTTTCTCCATGTAATTAAATGTAAGGTTATAGTTTAGTTTTTTATTTTAAAACACAAAAAGAACAAAATCCTATTGTATTTATAAAGATTGAAAAATAATTTCAGAAAATTCTAAGCCATCCATTTGTAAAAAAATTCCCACTTCATAGTAACTTTTAAGTACTCAGACTTAGCTAACAAATGTGATAGCTATCATAGTTATTAATTTATATACCTAAACATCTTAAAATGTTGTATAGACAATAGAAATAATTTTTTATTTTACCGATAATGTACATAAATTGTGTAATCAGAGCTTATTCATTTTCTAAGCATATGTTTGAAAATACTCTATTTTAAAAATCGATTGAGGGCCGGCCCAGTGGCACACTGGAGAGTGCGCCGATTGGGAGCGCGGCGGCTCTCCCGCCGAGGGTTCGGATCCCATGTGGAGACCGGTTCCCGCTCACTGGCTGAGCGCGGTGCGGGCGCAGCACCGAGGGTTGCGATCCCGTTGCCAGTCCCCGGTACAGGCGCGACACCGAGGGTTGCGATCCGTTACCGGTCAGTAAAAAAAAAGACAAAAAGGAAAAAAAAAATCGATTGAGAGACATTTTATTCATGTATTTTACAACTACTATTTGTTCTGCCTGTTTACCATGTGCCAGGCACTGTTCTAGGCACCAGGGATACAACAATGAGAAAAAAATGGATAAAAACCCCTGCCTTCATGGACCTCAAAACTAATGCAGTTGAATAATTTAAGGTTTTCTTTTGAGCTTCCCCATTTGATTTTGAGGGGTTTTTTTGTCAAATTAAAGTGAAACTAAGAATGAATCATAACGTATAAGATACTAATCCCATGCATTGCATATATATACTAGTGCAAAGTCCACATTTGAAAATAGCCCTGACAGAGGCCTTTATATAGTAAAATTACTGTGTTGGTAGTGTACATAATATGTGGGATTTCCATCACTTTTTATACTCTCTGAAATAAAACTTATGTAGACGTTACCGGAAATAATTAATATTGCTTTACTTCATTTGTCTTTCTTATAATTACCTTTGTGTGAGATAAGCAGGGTTCAGCTATCTGCTCTATCTGCAGCATGTAAGGGAAGAGTATGAAACCTACAGAATATTTAATAATTTCTTATTATTTAACCCAAACCCACGTTGATTTCCAACCCTGCTGGGGGAAGGAGTAGATAATCATTGGTTACAGTGAGTTAGGGATGATCTTCCCTCCCCCTATATAGAATTTCCTTGTTTAAAAAAATATATCTAAAAGTTTAAAGCTTTGCGTATAGAATACTAATGGAAAAATCTCTCTCATTTCCTTTCAATAGATGAAGCACAGGGTGATAAAGCCAAGCAAAGTATCAGAGCAAAGTGTACAGAATATCTTGATAGAGCAGAAAAACTAAAGGAGTACCTAAAAACGAAAGAGAAAAAACCACAGAAGCCAATGAAGGAGGGACAACCGAGTCCAGCTGAGGAGAAGGGGTATGTATTTAAGAGTGTTAGATGTTATTTTGTCTTTTAACTTTTAATTTGTGAAGTAAATTTCTTTTGCTTAAACTGGGTGTTTGCAAACCAAGGCTCATGGGCCAAAAATGGCCTGCTGCCTGTTTTTATAAATACATTTTATTGGAACACAGCCTCGCCCATTTCTTTACCTATTGTCATCTATGGCTGCCTTTCTTCCATAACTACAGAGTTGAGTGGTTGCAATAGAAACTGTATGACCCATAGAACCAGAAATATTTACTCTCCAGTCCTTTATAGAAAAAAAGTTTGCCAACACCTAGTTTACCAAGCTTCAGGGATAATATACCTCAAATAACCCTCCATGACTGCTTGCTGGTTATAGGGGAAAACATTTGTAGAAATGGCACCCAGTTACCCATTGCTGATTTTGTCATATTGATGGTTATTACAGGAATCGTCTGTAGTTAAATATTTGACCACATGACAAAATGAATAATAATTCCAATAATGTAAATAATTTTGGGGATATGTTATGCATAAGTTTTCAATGTGGATTTGCTTTAGATTTGCTTTATGTTATTGTAAAGAAAGCAACAGGCATAATTTATAAATATTGAAACCCATTTTGGGGACTGTCTTTCTAGATGGGGGATATATTGCTTACAGATGCAGAATTTATTCAACACATAATAACGTGCATGCCAGACTCTGTGCTAAGCAATGGGAGTAATCTAACCAGATCTTCTCTGACCGTTCTACTGACTGGTGCCCGAAGTGGTTCCAGGTGATACACTCTTAAGAAAATGAGACTCTTGGATGGACTTATCTGGCCTGGCTAGGTTTGAAAGCATTGAAGTTTTGGTTAGCTTTAGAGGATATGATACTCATAGTTCATGGTACGCGGTGGCACAAGTTACTTACGTAATTCCCTCTAATCAAAGAATGAAGTGCCCTTTAGGCAGTGCTACCATAGACCAAATTTTGAAGGACATGAGAAATAGAAGAACTAGAGTTGACTTCCTGCTTCAAACTATGTGGCCAAGTTTGAAGATAATTATAAGCTCAAAGTTTTATATTCTGTTCAAGACATGAACAGGAAACCAGGGAGTTTCTGTGACACACTAAGAATAATATCTTTTGCACCTATAGCATTGACATAACAAAAATCAGATGACAGTCTGATCTTAGGTATTATTGAATTTCAACTTTGGGTTTCTTATATGAAAGTGAGGACATTTAGTGTGAGACAGGTACTCCAAAGATAAAATGAAAATGTTGGGAAGAATTTAGTTGACTTCGAGTGCTTGGGACCTCCAGCTCTCACTGAGACTTCCTTGTCAGAAACATTCTCTCTTCCCCCATCTCTTGAGGCTCTTCTGGGCTTGCTCGAAGACCCTGTAAGGATCTCTCCTGAGATGGTTACCTAACAAAGGGGTACCAGTTCTTCTCCTGGAACAGCTATTTTGGTTACAGACAGCAGGACCCACTTTGGCTAATTTAAGCAAAAAGATTTATTTTAAGATATTACCTTACAGAATTTTGAGGCCAGGGAATTAAGCTTGGATTCCACATCACTGGAAAAAATGCTCAACTATACCAGCATTGTTCAAATAGGGATCTCACTGCTGCCAACTCCTCTGCCAAGCACTTTCAATGCTTGGAAGCAGATAGTAAAACCTCTGCCACATCTCCTTCAGCAAAATCAGTGCTTTCACCTAAAGATTTGGTCTCCTTGCAAACAGCCCCCACCTAATTGGAGGAGCTTAGGTGTCATGTGGAAACTTAGCTGCAAGGGAGCCTAGAAAGGACAGTTTTTTTAATAAGTATAGCCTTTACAGTACAGGAAAGCATGATAGAAGGAGGTTGAAGTGAGTGTCAAGTGAATCAGATTAGAGTATCTACCTCATCCATAACCCCACCATCCTGCAGTAATCAAGGCAACCCCTTCTTGGCATAAAACCTGTCAAGCTTTTTATCCCCTCTTTATGTCTTATATTTTTGAAGATGATATAATTCCATATTTTCTGCTTTATCACTTTTTCATTCAACATTTTATCAGGAACATCTTTCCAATAAACTATTTCTACCACATCATGTTTAAAGGTTACAGTGTATTCTTTCATATGCTAATCCCTACAATTCAACATAAATTTCTTCTCTTTTCCCCTGTTGGAAACAGTATAGATGTGATTATCCTTACAATCAAATCCTTGACTCATTTTAAATGATTTCTTCAGGATAAATTCCTAGATATGAAATACCTGAGGTGATCTACTTGTTCCTCGGGTTCAGTTCATTTCTATCAGGAAGCTTCATGCATTTTTTGGACCCTCCAGACTAAGGGTTATAGACCTTTGTACCTTAGATAATTAGTGTTCTAGGTTTTTTCCTCCTAGTATGACTAATTATTCTGATTTATATTTTGCCTGGTCCTGATGTTTTTACTGTTGTTGTTTGCAACTCTTGTAATTCATCTTAACTCCTATTCATAAAAGGATCCATTTATGAATAAATACATACATGGTTATATCATGGGAATTTGGAGCTAGTTCCTGACTTCATTTTGGTTTTTTTGTCCCTTTCCTGTTCATGATTTTCTATTGATTGATGATGTGCCTGCTTCCTATTTTATTTAATACATTCTTAAAAGTAATAAAATAAGCACAACTTTTAATGTGAATATCTTATATCCAGATCTTTCCTTCATTTTTGTCTTATTTGATAGCAGTGATGATTTGAATATATTAAATTCTTTTTATTAGGAATGACAGTGATGGGGAAGGAGAATCTGATGATCCAGAAAAAAAGAAACTACAGAATCAACTTCAAGGTTGCTTTAGATTTCATTTTTAAATTTACTCTCTTGTTAAAATGACTCATAGTGAATTATCTGTTTGAATTGTTATTTTTCCCCCTCTATTTAAATGAAGTTCAAGTACTGGCTTCAGTTCTGGTGGTCACACGCTGGCTTTGTTTAGAATGATTTCATAGGGTTTGCCCTCTAAGGTCACTAATGGTTTGTTTTTTTCATTTAGTAAAAATATTGTTTGGTTTTATATCTGCCTTTGGAAAGGCTGTGAGTCAATTTGTTCTCTTTCATTTTATTTGCCCCCTTTTAGAGAAGGTAGCATTATACTTTTGGCACACCACATAATCTGATGGTATTAAAATTTACTATTGTCAGTGGAGCAGAATGAATTACGAGTTACACTTGGCTTTTTATTGTCATGGTTGTGGCTGATTCATTGATTGTTTATTTCATATTTTCTACCTGCTCTTTCTCATCTGTTTTTCAGTGTTTCCATTTACATTTATCCCTTTACATTTACATTTATCTGTTTAAGCTTTCTGTTTTTACCTTCTGCACCTATAAAAGCCCTTTCATTCTCCTCTACTAAAATATAGTGGCATAATGGAGAGGGCGTAGGTTTTGGCTCTGTTCAGATCCAGATTCCACTCTAAGGTCTGCCACTTAAAAGCTTTCTGATTGTGGGTAAGTTACCTAACCTCTCAGAGTCTGAGTCCCCATCTCTAAAATGAAAATTAGTAGTACCTTCCTTTCAGGACTATTAAAAGATTAATGACAATATAAAAACGCCTTAACATTATAGCTGACAAATTCTAGGGACTCAATAAATGATAGCTCTATGTATCTAAAAAGGTGTCTATTTAATTGCTGGCTGGCTTATTTAATTGCTGAGATTGTAATGTTCTTTTGATGTGCTACCTAGTGGTTTTTTAAATTGAATTTTATGCCCCATCATTGATAGTATGTATTTTGTTCATTTGAATTTTACCTAATAGAATGCATAAGTGGGAGGGATTTCCATAGTATAGACTCAGCCTTGGTTACTGAATAATGAATATACCTAGCTTAACCAGACCTTTTAACCTTGCTATACTTGTCTTTTCATCTTGTTATAACCTCTGTCTTACCCACCACAGTGGGATGTATAGGAGAACACTATTAGGATAGTATCTTTAAAACAGTACAGTTGATAGGATAAAGAGCATTTTTATATGTCAAGAACTTCAACAGAGGATCTAGCCCAAGAGCAGAAATTTTGACTTTCCACTGCCGGATTCCTGCTGCCTGAAGTGATGCAGACACCCACTGCATACTCAGTAAAGTATTTGTTGGGTAACCCAGTGATCCATACAAAGTCATCTTATTCTAATTGTAAGGCAACAAGCTTTTTTTCTGTCTGCTCTATTGATTTTGGTTTTGTTTCCCCTCCCCCTCCCCCCCAAGTGAAAATTAGATTGTATCTTTAATTTCGAAAAAGATACAACCAGTTTTTAATAGGGATTTCTCTAAATTCCCTATCAGCTATGATAACGGCCAGAGATGTAAAAAAAAAAAAAAAAATTTCAAAACATTTAAATTAAGAAATTTATTTGGAATTTCAGGATGAAATAGAGTATGAAAAGTCCTAACAGGCTGCTTAGTTGTTTACAGTTGAGCAATTTCTATATACTGAAAATTGGAAAAGCTTTTGATAAAAGATTACTAGAAAATTTTGTGAATAAGCTATGTTAAAAGGATTCTTCTTGGACTTTCACTGCAATAATTTCACTGCAATGGCTTTTTAATATACACCATTTAGAAACTAAATCATTCATTTAAGTAACTTGGTAAATTTACAAAAATTGTAAATAGGTTTATTTAGAAGCCAAATAGAAAATTTGGCAAATCTTAGGGTAGTATTTTGAATCCACAGAGGTACACCTTCTGTCTCTTATCTATCTGCTTTTATTCCATCCCTTCCTCTCTTTTCTCCTCCCTTCTGTTTGTCTGTCTATCTTCAGTTAAAGTTAAGTGTATTTTCTTCCTGTGGTTGAGGAGAGCATTAATGACTTTTCCTTTGGTTAACAGGAAAAATAGATCAACTGCTATTGAACAAGTATTTTTGATACTGCAGAATTAACGTATTCAAATATTATAACCACTTTATTTAATGTTTGGTGCTTTTCCAAACATTCTTTATCCTTACACTAACCTGTCTAAGTAGTTTTGTAGGCAGATGGGACTATTTTCACATTACAAATAAAGAAGTGGAAATAGAAGGGATAAGTGACCTACCCTAGGTTATCTAGCCACCACCCACGTCCACGACTCCTGCTGACTGCTCCCTTACAGCTACTTCCTCATCACATTATTTCAGAGTTTTAGTACATAAAAGTTTTCCAGACAATTTTATAATCCATTTCTTTAACATTATTATGTCACGTTATCTTCTAACTTTGATGAAATCGTCTTCCTTAATTTAAAGATGACAAAATTTTTTGTAGGTGCCATTGTTATAGAGCGGCCAAATGTGAAATGGAGTGATGTTGCTGGTCTTGAAGGAGCCAAAGAAGCACTTAAAGAGGCTGTGATATTGCCTATTAAATTTCCTCATCTTTTTACAGGTGAGATGACTTTTAATTTTATTTGATGATATTTTTAAAATGCATCAACGACTGAGGTAAAACATTATGAATTCTTGTAACCATATGATGATTTATTATCTTAAATTCTGTTATAATGTGATATATCTTTACACAAAGATGTTTCCCTACACATATCTATGTTTGCTATATATATATTGCAAAACAACCTAAATGTCAACCAGTAGGGTATAAGGTAATTAACCAACATGTAGTGGAGTACTGTGGAATGCTGTAGTGTGCACTCATTAAAATGTAGTAATAAATTTAAATCTACATTATAATTTATTGAAGAATGCCCACCTCTGTTATAAAGATAGTTATAAAATATAGTATGATTCTGTGATTGTTATATAAATGTGCATCTGAGAAGCGTAGATGCATTGATATAAAAATGTTAATGTATGCCTAGGAGATAAGCTTATAGGTGATTATTACTTCTTTTGACTTTCATCAGAATTTTTTGCATTGGTAATGTATTAGTTTTTTAAGAGTATTTTCATTTCTTTTCTTTTTTTTTTTTTGTCTTTTTCCGTGTCCGGCAACGGATCGCAACCCTCAGTGTTGCCCCCATACCAGACCGGGGACCGGCAACGGGTTTGCAACCCTCGGTGTTGTTGGTAATGTATTAGTTTTTTAAGAGTATTTTCATTTCTTTTCTTTTTTTTTTTTTTTCTTTTTCCGTGTCCGGCAACGGATCGCAACCCTCAGTGTTGCCCCCGTACCAGACCGGGGACCGGCAACGGGATTGCAACCCTCGGTGTTGCTCCCGCGCCTCGCTCAGCCAGTGAGCGGGAACCGGTCCGTATGTGGGATCCGAACCCTCGGGCGGGAGCGCCGCCGCGCTTCCGAAGCGGCGCACTATTCATTGCGCCACCGGGCCGGCCCAGTATTTTCATTTCTTAAAAAGGGGGATAAGACTTATTTAACAGCTTCAGATGAAGTGCACAGCCTCTAGTAGCAAAGGGACAACTTGTTATAATGTGAAAGGAGTGTTGCTAACCCACCATCTGGAGATAGTTTAAGTTCTAGTTGGCAGCAGGAAGTGATCTATCTGTGTTGAACCATTCCTTCACATTGTCGTTTTTGTAACTGATAGCCTATGTTTTGTAATCTGCCTACACCCACAGTCTAACAGCCAAAAAGAGGTGTTTCCTTTTGAAAACAAGCTGGTTTATGTAGAGAGCAAATCTGTGATGTTGGCCTCAGACTGAACAGGTCCAGACAGTGATGTCGTGTAGAGCAGTGATGAAGAGCAAAGAACCTGTGGGCCATGTATGGTCCACCTAACTTCATGAATATGAAACTAACAGTATAAAAGTTGACATCATAATCCTATAACAGTACAAAAATGTAGTTGAACTCATTTTATGTTATATTACTTATACCAGTGTTTCCCAAACATGAGTCACTTAGGTATCATCTTCATGTACCATTATTATTTTTTAAATATTTTTCTTTAAATCACTCACTTTTTAGAACAAACTTTTGATTACAGTATAGCATAAATACACGGAGAAATGCAGGAACCATTAAGTGTTCAGCTTCCTTAATTAGCCATCACCCAGGTCCAGAAAGATTACATTACCTGACCCAGCATTGCCCTCTGCCTCTTTGCTCCTCAGAGGCAATCACTCTCTTGATTTCAAACACCATAAGTTATTTTGCCCATTTTATTTTAACTTTACATTATCTCACTTATTTCACTTTATTTACATTATTTTAAAAGACTGCTTTGTGTCTACTATAAATGAAAAAAAATCAGTGTTTTTCAAATACACATTAACAAGGTAATTATGTAAGAAAGAAGTATTTTTATACCACCTAAAAGTATTTTATATGATACCAGAGGTATATGTACCACACTCAGGGGAACACTGACTCAAAATTGCATACATTTAAAATAGGAAACGAGTTCAAGTAAAAGTTGAGACTTTCATAACAATAAATGTAAATATTTAGTTTTGCCATTAGTCATCAGTGTATCATTCCTTTGCAGACACCGTGTACGCATCACAATTTTCACCTAGGAATTTTTTAAACATGTATTTGATGTTTTATTGCCTGCTGTAACCCAGCCTGCTGGTTTATTTTAGGCGGCATTATAATTTCTCATTAACAAAATTGTGCCTCAAAGAGTTTATTTGTTCAGTTGTTATATTTTGGCAAAACTAGGATGTAAGATAAGAGTCCCCTTATCATTACCCAGCCATTGAGACTCTGCTACCTGTAATACTAAACTGTGCTTCCCTGTGGAATCAAGAATTCAACAGAACTTCACAAGTCAGTCAGACCGTTAGGTTCACTCCTCCAAAGTCATAAATATTTAAAGAAAGTCTTTCCAGCTGTCCTTCCTTTAATGGATATAATTGTTTTACAATATTCTGGTATTGAGCAGTGAGCACTGTAGATGATCAGAAAGTGCCTTTTAACTGAACTTTTTCTCCGACTACACTGAAAGCCCACAGAAGGTAGAGATCCTTTGTCTACACATTATGATTTTGATACATATTGAATGAATCACTTCCTGTTAGAAGGCTTAAATTTATGTAAACACACTTTGGACAAAGTAGTGTCAAGAAAAAGATAAAATACATTAAAGACATACTTAGATTGATTTATTTTAGAAATATCTTTTTTATTCTTACTAATAGATTTAGAGTGAAAAATCTTTTCACAGTATTCAGTATTGATGATGTGTACGGTAACTGAAATTAACGGTCTTGAAATTTTCATGTTATTTTTCTAATGCAAATTTTAGGCAAGAGAACACCTTGGAGGGGAATCTTATTATTTGGGCCACCTGGAACAGGAAAATCCTATTTAGCCAAAGCTGTAGCAACAGAAGCAAACAACTCAACATTTTTTTCAATATCATCCTCTGACCTTGTTTCTAAGTGGCTAGGTGAAAGTGAAAAGTAAGTAATAGTCATTCATAAATAGATTTTTTCTTTTTTTTTTAGTTTTTTCTTTGCCTGGTAGTCACTGTATCAGTCTGTAAAGTAATAGGTTTCTTACATCATTAATAGATATTCAGAGAAGTGACATAATGTATGTATTCATTTCTCAGCCAAATCAGTTTCTAATTTGGAATTTATTTTTCAGGATAAAGACAGAATATATGTATAGCTTAGTAAATTATAAAGTTGTAGCATTCTTATTTTCTGTACCTAAAACATGACTAGGCTTTTTAAATCTATAGAGTTCTTGTAATATTGGTATATTCCTTTGTTTTAGTCTTTTACCTATTTTTTTAGAGGCTGAAATATTTTACTTATTTTTAGACTGGTTAAGAACTTATTCCAGCTTGCCAGAGAGAACAAGCCTTCCATTATCTTCATTGATGAAATTGATTCTCTGTGTGGTTCAAGAAGTGAGAATGAAAGTGAAGCTGCACGTAGAATTAAGACAGAGTTTCTAGTTCAAATGCAAGGTAGTATTATTCATTTTTGGAAATAGTTTCTGTTTGTTGTATAATTGTTGTTATAAAAATAATGGGAAAAAAATTCAAACAGAATTTCTCCGTTCTTACAAATTGTTTCATTATGCCATGTTTAATTCTGATTGTCTTCCATATGCATATGTAATTTTTACCCAGTTGTAATCATCTTGTAGGACTTCCTGATATAAATAATAAAGATTAATATATTCACTTAAAACATACCAGGAACAATATCAGTAAGAGGGATATGTAGTCTTCAAGTAAAATCTTTCTAGAAATATTTTGATAAGAATATTAATAGTATTTGTCCACAATCTGGGAGATTTGATTCTTGGGAATATTTGCATCATATGGCAGTAATATGATATTTGATTAAATATAGTTTTTTTCAGAGAGTCTTTCAAGATGAGGTACTTTAACCTCAAAGCACCACATTACTTAACAGAACATACAGACAAGATTTAAAGAACACCAAAATATTACCTATTTTAATGCAGGGGTTGGTGTGGACAATGATGGAATTTTGGTTCTGGGAGCTACAAATATACCCTGGGTTCTGGATTCTGCCATTAGGCGAAGGTATGATGATACAGTAAATATATTATTTCTAACTGCAGATGTAACAGGTAAATGATAATTCCCTTTTATCTGTTGAGTCATTCTGATAACTTTTCAAAATTTTTTTAATGTGCCTTAGCTTTTTTGCTCTCTGTCTTGGGGGAATCCTATTTAGCCAAAGCTGTACCAACAGAAGCAAACAACTCAACATTCTTTTCAATATCTTTTTCTGACCTTGTTTCTGAGTGGCTGGGTCACCCCCAGAGGAGTGGTCATTTGCTTGTTCGTTTGCCTGCTATATTGAAGGTATAAGATATCCACGTACTGGAAGCTTTCACATTGGAAAATATATTATCTAATGCTTACCTTTAGTTCTAATTAAGTTTAGTGGGCACTGATGCTCCAAAAATTTACATACATTTACATATTAATTTTCAGTGAGAACCTTTTATACAAAATTTTAGCAGAACAACTATTATGCAAGTTGGAGTAAGATAACGAAGATATATTTTTAGTAAAAAAATTTATGTCTCTAATTTTTAAGTTGAATAAGAAACTAGCTCTAGGAAAGGTGTATAGAGGCTCTTCACTTTTCACTGCTCACTCCCTATTTCATTCATTTAATTTTTCATGGTAAAAATTACTACTTCAGTTTTGCCACTTTTATCCCATTCACTTGATGGTTTGCCATCATGCCAGATTACCATACAGTACTAAGAAAGGAAATGTGCTGCATATTTTTGAAAATCATCTAATTTCAAATCCATCTCTAGAGGTATTGGAAACTTAAAATTATTTTCATTGCCACAAAGAGTTACCTACAGGAAAACAGTCTGCAGAGACCACTTAAATTATCCCTCATTGTTTCCGCCTTATCTCCAAATACTGAAATTTTAAGAAGTCAAGCAAAACCATTGTTAGTAAAACATAGCGTTTATTATTCATGATATAAGATTATTTATTCTCAATGTACTCATTATAATAAAGTGGACATTTTGTGTAATAAATACATTTTTATTCTATAAGATTTTGAGTAATTTTACTATTTTGAATTTAGAGAATTATCATTTCATCTCTACTCTTATTTTATATTGTTAATCATTAATGCCTTCATCAGGAGTTCAGAATACAATTCTGTGGGAAACTGTAATCCTGTAGGACATGTCTTTTTATGTCATGAATTCCAGACATATAAGCAGTATGGCCAAAATGACTCAAAAATCATGCGAGAAAGACTAAGCTCCAAACTGGTTTACTGCCCATTTCAATTTTGTTTGTTTGTTTTTGATGTGTTCTAGATAGTCTCTCTTTATCTAACCTAAATATGTTTAACTCTGGCACATGTGGGCCCATTTAACTTATTCAACTTAACTTGGTGTAATTGAAAATTTCTAAACATCTGTTTCTTTTTGAAAGTATACTAATTTTCATTTTAAATTAAATATATATATATTAATATTCTTGAAATAATTTCCCTTTTATTTTAAGATTTGAGAAAAGAATTTATATTCCTTTGCCCGAAGCCCATGCCCGAGCAGCAATGTTTAAACTGCACTTAGGGACCACTCAGAACAGTCTAACAGAAGCAGATTTCCGAGAACTTGGGAAGAAAACTGATGGTTATTCAGGGGCAGACATAAGTATCATTGTACGTGATGCACTTATGCAGCCTGTTAGAAAAGTACAGTCAGCAACTCATTTTAAAAAGGTAAGTAGCTTTTTGGTTTGCCCTCAAAGAATTTGGAAGGGTTGCAGTGTTGTATAATAATACAATAAATAAGTGGGTTTACATAATGGACATATTTTTACTTTATTGAAAATAAGCTGTCCAATAAAATTTTTTAATGGCCATTATTATAGTCCTAAAGCATTCTAAATTTTTCTATAGACTTATTTTTAAAGTATTTCTATATTACTTTGATGTAAGTATAGAAACTTAAATATATAGCTGTAAGGCTGTTTCTGACATAACTAGAATATCCTTGAACAGAATCTGGTGCATTTAAACCTTACAAACAAATAAAAATAATAATAACCAATATCTTTTAATTTTCATGTACCTGCTACTGTGTTATATCCTTTATCTTTTTATTTCATTTGGTCTTCACACAAACTGCAAGAGGTGCATGTAGCCAGCCACTTACCTGTTGGTGGCTGATCTGAGTCTTAGATACACTTTGCCAGGATATTAGAGTGAGTGGCAGAGGTGTGATTTGTCCCTGGGTGAGGTGTACTTCAGAATCTGAAGTCTCAACCATTCTACTGTCCTGCCTCTCCTGTGCGCTCTTGTCCACGTGTACAAGTTGAGCATATGTGGCTGAGATGTAGTTTTGTGAAAGACTTTGGTCTTGAGATACCCAATTTAAGGAACAGTGGACTAGGTAATTTGGACCAACCCTCTTACTGAGGATAGCAGTATCCAATATTCTCATGACCCATATATTTAAAAATCCTGAAAAAACAATTAGCAAACCTAATCCCGCTATATATGACAAGACTGATATATCATGACTAAGTTACATATGTATGTCTATTATGTGTCACAATTAGATAAGTTTTTTTTTTAAAGTTAAGAACTTGAATTAAAACATGAATTTGAAGCCTGGGACCACAATTTACTTCTTATATCTCCTTGAGCAAATTATATTACCTACTTAAGGCTCATTTTTATCATCTCTAAAATGGGTATAATAACACTACTTTGAAGTGCTATTGTGAGAATAAAATGAAGTAATACTCACAGAACACTAGTTATGGTACATGAATAGCCCAGTAAATATTATTCATCTACCCTTCTTCATCCATCTCATTACTGAGAAATATAGTAGGCTCAGGATTAAGTTTATGCCACAGCCATTATATTTTCTCTTAAATTCTCTTTGCCATTTAGAAACTATAAATTCTTAAGAACTCAGTTCTTTCCTACCCAGGATTTATCATTTGATTGTATATATTACTACCAGCAACAGCTTATATGACCCTGAAACAAAGTCCTTGTTAGTAGGATAAAGATGAATCAGCCAAATCAGTTTTAACATCAGGGCTTTGGATCACCAACTGTAGTAGACAGCTCTATGGCTCCATCCTTTACTCTGTTTTTAAGGCTAATTATTTCAGTTAGCAAGAACAGATTTGCCTGTTTGTTTATTTATCAAATGTCTAAAGTACTAATGTGGGCCCAGAGGCAGATCTGAAAGTACAGTAACCAAAAAAAGAAACAGAAAACCCTGACCCTCATGCAGGTGAAATTTTTGTGAGGAAAGACAGACAATAAAATACACATAATAAGTAAGGTAAGAATGTGTATTTCTTAACATCTACACCAATTCCGAGATAATATTTAATGTCAAACATTGTAAAACAGATATGAAAGCAGCCTCCAGTTTGATACAAATTTATTGCCATGTGACTTTATATCACAAAGTTTCTTTTCTGGGGTATGATTAAAACTTTTTATTTAAGTTAGTTATGCACCATAAAGTGGCACTGAAATTACATTTTTATTATTTAATTTTGTACTTATATTTGAAAGAGTTTTTGTTGAAAGAGACATAAAGATTCATTCATGTCAGGCTAAAGCTTCCGAATATCACAGGAGCTTCTCAGCTAGGGAAAATAGAGCAACTTATGAGAATTTTTTAATATGTCTATTTTTGGTCTCTAAAATTACTAGCACTAACTAAGCATTAGAGAAAAGACAGGGAAAGCTTAGCCACAGGTAACCGTTTCTTTCTTTTTTTTTTTTTTTAAACTCATTTTACCCCTGTGAAAATATGGGTAATTTATTGTAGGAAAGTTCAAAATATCAACCACAATCTATCCCCATCACTGAGAGATAACTACTTTTTGTTGTATATTCTTCTATTTTTTTCCAAAATTAAATATTTTGACAAAACATAAATACTAGTACATTTTCAATTTTCCTGATAATAGCCTAATCTTAATGTTTATTTAATTTGTTCAAATAAATATTTTAGATTACTATTTGCTGCAGGTTCGTGGACCTTCACGAGCTGATCCCAACTGCATTGTAGATGACCTGCTAACACCCTGTTCTCCAGGTGATCCTGGTGCCATTGAAATGACATGGATGGATGTTCCTGGAGATAAACTTTTGGAGCCAGTTGTTTCTATGGTTTGGAATTTTGTTTGTTTTTAAGAAAAAAATTAAAACATTATACTTTGTATTTTGTCAAACAAAGATAAAATGTTTCAGTTATGTAAGATTTGCTGGAAAATATTAGTATGATCAGGCATGTTTATTCGATACTATTGACTCACTTTTAAAAAATTATAAAATTAAATTTATTAAAATATAAAAATAATTATCTTTAAAATATTTGGTGGGACTTTAAGGAAACTTAAATTTTAAGTAAAAAAGCTATTTTTTAAAAAAACAACAGGTTTCTGACTTTATAGGTCTTATAGCCAGAATATTATCCCCAAAATGCTTATATATATTATGCATAAACTATTGTCAGTACTTAACTAAAAAATTGGATTGGTGAAATTTTTTTCCCTGAGTCTCAGATTTTTTAAAGCAACCAGAAATGCTAATGCTTGTATCACAGTTTTCATAAATGGTGTTTTTCTGTTTCACTTCTCAAGGCTCCATGGAAAGTTTAAATAATGCACCGCTTAAAAATTGTAACTGAATTTAAACAGAATTTTTTTTTACAAAAAAATTAATTTTTATAGTTTACATTGGAAGAATTAAAATTGTTTTGAAAGGTACATTGTTTTTTAAGGAAATTAGGGTGATTGAAAAGTTACATTTATGTTTTCTTATTGATAAGAACTCTTAATTTTCAAAATTTTTTGCTTCAGTTACAGATTTTGAAAGAGTTTTTTGGTATGTTTAAAAATAACTTTCAGAGGGGCCGGCCCATGGCTCATGCGGGAGAGTGCGGTGCTGAGAACACCAAGGCCCCGGGTTCGGATCCTATATAGGGATGGCCGGTTGGCTCACTGGTTGAGCGTGGTGCTGACAACACCAAGCCAAGGGTTGAGATCCCCTTACCGGTCATCTTTTAAGAAAATAAAATAAAATAAAAAAATAACTTTCAGAGGAGAAACTTTGATATGTACAAATAGATAAGTAGCCATATGTATATGTCTTATAAGTATACACACAGTCATAATGCTTATCTGAGAATTTATTCAGAAATCCCTGTTTCTTTCAATCCATGATATTTTTAAGTTTTTATGCTCTGTCTAGCTTTGAAGAATTTATAGTAACTTACAGTGGCCCTTTTTTTAATCATTTTTCATACTGTTTCACAGGAGACGTAGCCTAGAAGTTAGCTTTTTAATATTAGAATATTTTCTTACCATTTCAATTTAATTTTAATTATTTTAAAATTCTTAGTTGATTTTAATAAAATGGCATTCAGCTTCAGTTAAGTATGGGTGAATGATTATATTCCTTTGAATTGCACTTACTTGAAAAACCAATTCCTTGGGCCAGCCTGGTGGCGCACTGGAGAGTGCGCCGCTTGGGAGTACGGCGGCGCTCCTGCCAAGGGTTCAGATCCCATGTGGAAACCGGTTCCCGCTCACTGGCTGAGCGCAGTGCGGGTGCAACACTGAGGGTTGCAATCCCGTTGCCGGTCCCCGGTACGGGCGCGACACCGAGGGTTGCGATCCCGTTACGGGTCAGTAAAAAAGAGACAAAAAGGAAAAAAAAAAAGAAAAACCAATTCCTTGTTTAACAAAAACAAATTGCAGGGACTTGATCCTCTGGCTAAGAGGATTGTACTTCTGATCAGTAATAGAGAGCCCTTGAAAGGTTTTGATCAGGACAGGGGAAGAAATTGGAATTTTCTATGTAAAGAAATAACATAATCAAAGATGTCCTTTAGGAAGAATAAAGGAATTGATTGTAGCTTATGGACACTGCAAATATTCAGATTTAGCCTTAGGTTAAAGTTAGTAACAATAATGATAATGTGATGATTTTTATTTCATTAAATCTATTATTTATCTCTCTCCCCAACCTTCTTTTTTCTGACAGTCGGATATGTTGCGGTCATCGTCTAACACAAAACCCACAGTCAATGAACACGATTTGTTGAAATTAAAGAAATTTACAGAAGATTTTGGCCAAGAAGGCTAAACCAAAGACAACAAGGAAGATGTTTATTATATGTATTCTTTCTTTCATAGATATTTTTGTCTTTCTTGGATGGCGTTCAGATTATTTCCAGTAAAACTCTTTTACCACAGGGAAATACACATCTTGCTTCAGAGTTCCTTTAAGTTTTATATTATACTTTTCCTACACTACCTACTAAGTGCACCTTTTAACAAATTATAAAATAATCGGTTATAAGGAAATAGCAATATATGAATGGCAAAAAATAGAAATTACCCAGTAAAAAGAGCTTTAGAAGTTGATTGAGGGCCGGCCCGGTGGCGCACTCCTGCCGAGGGTTCAGATCCCATGTGGAGACTGGTTCCCGCTCACTGGCTGAGCGTGGTGCGGGCGCAACACCAAGGGTTGCGATCCCGTTGCCAGTCCCTGGTACGGGCGCGACACCGAGGGTTGCGATCCCGTTACTGGTCAGTAAAAAAGACAAAAAGGAAAAAAAAAAAAGTTGATTGACACTCAAGTACTTAAAATTTTTATGAATGGTAGTCTTTGCAAGAGCATTTATCATTTTTTTGACTAAAATGAAATAGGGCTTATTTTATATTTTGGAAAAAAAATTATTAAACATCATTATCAATGTAAAATTGATTTTCTTCATGAAAAAATTAAAAATGGTGAAATCTTTACTCTCAGGGATGGGCAATAAAACAGCAAAGAGCACTGTAATTGGGTTTGAAAGATTCTGAATTGTGTTATAGTCAGTGCTCTTAGTGATTTTTAATAGGTCGATGTGGTTTTTTTCTGTGTAGATTTAAATAATTTCTTTAAAAGCAGGAAGCTTTTATATTTAACTAAATGATACCTTTCACTGTGCAATTTCAAGAGAAAGACTTTCTAAATTAGGCATTGTCTTTACCTTGAAGGAGAAAATTGCCTATTTCAGTGTCTTTTTGTAGCAAGATTGACCAAAACAGGTGGTAAATAAATATGTAATTTTAAAATAACTGTCATGAAATACTGTAATGGCAACCTTTGCTAATAAGGAAATGGCCTCATTTTAGTTTATGGGAAGTTTCTTGTGTGTGATGTGGTGGTGCGTGTGTACATATATATATATATATAAAATTTTTTTAAAATATAAGATAGCAAGGGTCTTGTCTTTCACCTTTTAAGTTTAGGGAACAGTTTGTCCTGGCCACACATATGTTATTAGTGTAATGCTTTATGACGCTTTAGAAATGAGCCAATGACTCATTAAATAATAAAATACAAACACGATGTTATTTTAATATCTTCAAATAAATAATCTGAGATGTGTATCACACACATTAGCATTAACACTAAGTTGTGCCTTGTATGTTTGCATTGGCTATATGTGCAAAAGATTCAGTTAGCTAGAATGAGGTAGATTCCTTAATTACTATAAAGTTCTACCTTGCAAATGCTATAGAATAGCTTGCATTTTAAAGTATATTTGCACATTTTACATATTATGCTATATGGTTGCCTTTGGGTTTTCTGTACAGATTGTTTTTGTTGATATTAATGGAAATCATAGGCCTGAAGTATGCTTTTCTTATGTGAAGTAAATTGATATAACCTACTATTGGCTATACTCTGTATATGCTTCTTTATTTTGGGACTTTCTGTGTAAAATTTAGAAAAAAATATTATCTAATTGATTAGATACAAAGAAATCATGAAATTTTATTGAGTGTATACGTGAAAATTCTGTTTTTCAACAACTTTCACATGAAGGTTGGGGATTAACTTGGCAGACCAACACTAAATAATTTTGTGGATAATTTATATATTTTATCTGTTTATCAGCCTTAGGATTATACAGTATTGCTCTTAATTACATATTAGGAGAATTAATATAATTATATTATTGTACATACATAATTGAAATCCAGATTTTTTTGTGTGAAATGAAAATTTTAGGAAGTATTCTACTTAAAATACATGACCGAATAGTGTGTAAGCATAGTGTTAGTAAATAGATACTTTATCACACTTAATTCTTACATGTGCTTTGAGAACTATATCAGTATTTATATCACTGGTAGCCAGCGCTCCATTTTCTAAATTTCTGGGCCTAAAACTCTTTATGGAATCTAATAACTTTAGGCTTATTCTAGAATGGTAGAGCATGCTTCCATGTGTTCATTATGGACAGATACTCAAAAGAACCTGAATGGGCACGCTGTGTTTCTCCAGCTCTTGACCATTATAAAGTTGGGTAGACATTTTCTGAGCCAACAAGGAGACCATAGTTGTTGAGCATTTCTGTGTGCTACACCCTGGATGTTTAGGAGCATTTTGTCTCAGCCTGAGAAATCTATAAGGACTATAATTATAAAGCATGTCAATAGAGAATTGATTTTTTAGTTCACCATTGATTACATGTAGAAAAACAGAATGAGTGTATTTGATTATTAATGCTATGGAAGCACCACTTAGCCACTTTCCATAGTTAAGGAATGGAGGCATAGCTACCTAACATTGGTGCTATATGTTGCAAATGACGCAACAGAGAGTGCCCAGTGTTGACAGTGATATCTCAGGTTTGTGAGCTCTCACAGGTTCCATGTTCTTTCCTATCTCCGTCTCTTCGATTTCATAATCCTCTTACTCTAATACGGTGCACTTTCTTTTCTTTGCTAGTTCAAATCACATATTTCCATTAAGTCCTAGCTGATGAACCATGTGATCTTTTCCAGGAAGAATCCCTAAACTGTTCCCATCTTACCTTTGGATTTCTTTAGCGCTAAGTTGTTACTTCCATCTTAAGATTTTTCTCTAAGTTTCAAGCATATTTTACTAATCTTGTTTAGGTCGTTTAGATTGTAAGCTCTAAGAGTTACATTTTCCTTAGCAGTTAGCATAGTGCTAGACACTATTAGGTGCTTAAAGGCTTGGAAAAAATACATCTTTATTTTGACCCACCTCACCAGTTATCTGTGAGACTTTATAAAATAGGTCATTTGAAGTGGCTTTGTTATTACTGGTCTAGTGAAGTTGTTATAAATTTCTATCATACTTACTGGGGACTCCAAAGTTAGTGGTGTGCTAGAGCCTGCTCCCTGACTCATAAGATTCAACTGGGCACACAATATACACCCTTCCCAGCTGTGAGTTCAGTGACCTCATAGTGGTAGCTTGAAATCTGCCATGATGGGAGTATTTACACCACAAAAATCAGCAAGAGTTTCAGTTAAAATTGAGAAGTTAATATTTACTACATTTATAGAAATAAAGGAGAAAAGTTAGCTTTATAGATGCATAAAAAGCAATAAAATCCAGTACCCATTTATAATTTTTTTAAAGTTCACTAACTGGGAATAGAAGGGAACTTCTCAATTCAATAAAGAGTATCTACCAGGAAAAAAAAAAAAAGATTATCAAACATAATTGTGAATTTTTGAAAACTTTACTCCCTGGAGATAAAATGGCAAGGGTGCCCACTGTCACCACTCCTTTTCAGCTTTGTACAGGAGAGTCTAGCCAGTGCAAGCAAAAGAAAGAAAAGGTTTAAGGATTAAAAGAGAAGAAACAAAATGGTAATTCACAAACGACATGACTGTGTATGTAGAAAATTGCTGCAAACTATTAGAAATGATCTACATTTAACAAGGTTACAAGATACAAGGTCGGTGAAGACACTACCAATTATAGTAGCATCAGAGATTATCAGATACCTTGGGCCGGCCCGGTGGCACACTGCTACAGTGCGCCGCTTGGGAGCGCAGCAGCGCTCCCACCGAGGGTTCGGATCCCACATACAGACCGGTTCCCGCTCACTGGCTGAGCGAGGTGTGGGCGCAGCACCGAGGGTTGCGATTCCGTTGCCGGTCCCGGTCCGGTACGGGCGCGACACTGAGGGTTGCGATCCATTGCCGGACACGAAAAAAGACAAAAAGGAAAAAAAAAAAAAGATTATCAGATACCTTGAAATACACTCAAAGATATGCAAGACCTCCACGTAGAAACACTATGAAACTACTGAAAGAAACTAAAGAAGACCTAAGTAAGTGGAGGGATGAGCCCTGCTCAAGTTGGATGACTCGCTCTAATAAAAAAGTCAGTTCTAACCAGATTGGTTTATAGATTTATTGCAATTCCAAATCTGGATCTGGATTTTTTATACAAAGAAATATATTTGTAAAAACTCAAACTACTTTTTAAGATGTGCACTATATGTATGCTAAATGTACATTTATATCCAGATATATGTGAGGGTACTTCAAAAGGTTCATGGAAAAATAGAATTAAAAGATAATACAAGGGCCAGCCTGTGGCTCACTTGGGAGTGTAGTGCTGATAACACCAGGGCCACAGGTTCGTATTCCTACATACGGATAGCCAGTTAGTTCACTTGGGAGAGCATGGTGCTGACAACACCAAGTCAAGGGTTAAGATCCCCTTACCAGTCATCTTTAAAAAAAAAAAAAAAAGATAATACGAATCTTTCCATGAACTTCTTGAAGACTCCTCGTAGGTATCCAGAAATAAAAATAGGTGCTAATGGGCCGGCCCGGTGGCGCACTGCTACAGTGCGCCGCTTGGGAGTGTGGCGGCGCTCCCGCCGAGGGTTCGGATCCCACATACAGACCGGTTCCCACTCACTGGCTGAGCGAGGTGCGGGCGCAACACCGAGGGTTGCGATCCCGTTGCCGGTCCTGGTCCATTCCGGGCGCGACACTGAGGGTTGCAATCCGTTGCCGGACACGAAAAAAAAGATTAAAAAAAAAAAAAGTAGGTGCTAAATAATTCATTGAGGATTTTAAAAAATATTTTGAATCCATTCTTAGAACATTGTATATCTCCTAGCCATATCTTTTTGTCCTTATATCCATCCACTCATTCATCTATTCATAATCATTCATGCAGAAATCTGTATGTACACATACATATCTGGGATGATTTTCACCTAATCCTCATCATGTTATTTGTGAGGTAGTGCAATTTGGATTGATTTTTTTTACTTTCTTTCATCTCCTTCAGATATATTTTCAGATGTCACCTTTCCTGCAAAATTTTCTCTGGCCATGCAAAATGATAATCCCTCCTGATGCTCCTGATACCCATTTCCTGTTGTATTTTTCTCTGTAGTGCTTATCATCATCTAACATACTATA